GAAAGAGGCTACTGTATTCACCTTCCTTAAGGGTTCTGGAATCCAAAACTGTGTGTTGTCCACTTGGTCAGTGTACACTGACAATGTATTACTTGTGGTCAACAGCCCAGGAGATCCAGGTAGGCGAGCCAGCTGCCTCCACCCCACAGGTTCGCTTGGCCAAGAACCACCCAGTGGTCAGGGTCAGGACTCCCACACGCACTGCTGGGGCGCAGGCTGGCTGCACCACCTCCTCTCCGTTCACCTGAACCACAGGCCAGAGCATCTCTGGGCAGAGCGCCTGCCATTGTATTTTCATTAGGAAATAGTTCTGCCAACTTCCAAATTTCTCTGCAAAATCCCCTTTAAAAAACAAAACAAACCACCACCACACTATCAAAAGCTTAGTAACATCAATCTTTATTCCAAACAAGACAGAACTACAGAACACCTGTAATCCTTCTGGTCGCATTTTATGGAAATCTTGAAAGACTGGACACACTGACTTACTGTTCAAACTATAACAATCAGGGATAGGATGATGGCACTGCTAAAGGTAAGTGTTTCTTCTAAACAAATAAACTAAAAGTGAAGGTTTAAAAGTTAACTTTCATTTCTGATGCTTAGCTTTGTCTTCAGGTGTTCTTGCTTAGCAACAAAAGCAAAAGAAAAAAGCCTGCTTTAGAACAGCAAGTAGGAATAAACAGAAGATGTAATCATACAAAGAAGCAATAGTTTAGTACGGTCTCATGCGGCTTGATGGGGGTGGTGCACGATTCGGAGGAGTAATTGCTATATCCAAGTAGTCTCCTATCTGGAATTTCTGAGACTGCAACGTCATGGAATCATCTGTGCCCTTCCTGCCCGACATGGTACTGCCGATCTCCTTCACCCTGCGCACAGGAGAGAAAAGGCAAGGTACTTACCAGAGGCAAATCTCTCTAGACATCCAGAACTGGAACTGTATTGGCTCATGACAACCTTCCCGTGCCATCCTCTGCACTGTATTTAGCATTTAGCGCACAGGATGCTGGGGTTTTTTTTCCCCCCCAGTACCAGGTGCACCAAGAAAAGTGACACCAAACCCTCTTTCTGATGGGGCAGAGGGGGTGGGGGAACCTTCTACTGTATTAATTTAAATACCACAGAGAACCCCTTGCCCCCCTCCACACACACAGAACAAGACCCCACAGATTACAGAGCAGGATATATCCGCTGGCTGCTGACAAAGGTTACCTCATACCGTTTTGGAAGATGGATACCTGCAACAAGATCACTGCTAAAACTCAAATGCATTCCCAGATACAAGGCCTACCATGCCTCCTATCGCCAGAAACAAAGCTTCATCTCAAGCTGCACGTCCGTGTTCTGGTCAGTTGCCAATAGAGCAACCAAAGCCTTCAAGCACACAATGTTTTGGGAACAGTGATGGCCACCAAGCGAAATTTAGAGTTTGCAGTGGTCATCATATAGTCTGTTATCAAGAACTTCAGAAGTTTGATTTGTGGGTTCTGAACTTTAAAATGCACATTAATGAAAAATAATTCACTGCTCCGTGCCTGAGGTCTTCTATTAACCTGGAGAAGAAATGCCATTTACCTATATCCAGGCCTCTTGAGATCTGTAAAGACAATTGCAAAATTGAAGTGCGTGCCCTTCTTCCGTGCTTCTGGGTAGACTTCTTTCACTAAGCTGGTCAGCTCTTTCAGAGTTGCATCCATCCTAGATTAAACAAACAAACAAAAGCAGTTCACAGTCTCAAAAGCAATGTGCTGTGGTTTAACCCCAGCCGGCAACTAAGCACCACGCAGCCGCTCGCTCAGCCTCCCCCCGCAGTGGGATGGGGAGAGAATGGGAAGGGCAAAAGTAAGAAAACTCGTGGGTTGAGGTAAGAACAGTTTAATAATAATAATAATAAATTATAGTGAAATGGAAAAAAACAGGAACAACAAAACCCAGAAAAAACAAGTGATGCAACCGCTCACCACCCACTGGCTGATGCCCAGCCCGTCCCTGAGCAGCAATTGCTGCCCCCCGGCCAACCCCCCCCAGTTTATATACTGAGCATGACGCCATATGGTATGGAATAGCCCTTTGGGCAGTTTGGATCAACTGTCCTGGCTGTGCCCCCTCCCAGCTTCTTGTGCACCTGGCAGAGCACGGGAAGCTGAAAAAGTCCTTGACCAGTGTAAGCACTACTTAGCAACAACAAAAACATCCATGTGTTACCAACATAATTCTCAATACTAAATTCAGACACCACACTAGGCCAGCTACTAGGAAGAAAATTAACTCTATCCCAGCCAAAACCAGGACACAATAACAATAAAAAAAAGCTTCCCAAAACCCATTTAAGGTGGATCAATATATTGCTACAACGTAACCATACATTTCTTTGCCTTTGCATACTTTCTGTCAATACCTGAAGATGAGCAAGATCTTACATTTCAGCTACATAGTGAGCCATTGATTTCACAACTACATGGCATTCCAAACAAGTCACTTGGTCATTAGACCAAAATGTAAAGAAGTTGCTCTAGTTATTGATTAAAACACCTGGGAGAATTCACCACTTAGTGTACACTGCAGACAATACAGTCTAGTGCAAATGTGGTTCCAGCTGTAGTATCTTCTAATTTACTGCCATATTAGACAAGTCTCTTCACCTTTGTGTACGTTTCAACATCTGCTTTTTCATGCCTCTCAAAAGAGTTACTATCTAAACAGGAGGGAACTTTGTATAAATGCATAATGCATTTATACAATGAACACTGTGTTTCCTCACGTAAGTTGGTATCCATATTAAAATAGCTTCTTGAATACTAGTGGAAGTGTGGAAACAAAAGAAAAAAAATCATTAATAGTTTTTCATTTCCATCAAGATTTCCACTTCTGCCCTAACAGGCAGCACTCCTCCATTTCCCAGCCTTCAAACAGACCAGGGCTAAGGCTCATTTCTAGAATTTCAAGAACAAAAGGACTCAATCATCACAACTAAAGCGGCTCTAATTATACACACTGAACACTCACTCCAAGCTTCGAGCAACCAAGGAGCAGTGTGTTGACAGACAATGCCCACTCTGACTTCTGCAGATGGCAAACAGCTCAGACACCATCAATAGCCTGGACCGAGTCCATAAATCCTATTAAGAAGTAAATTAGAACTGCATGCTTTGCTAGTCACAAAAAATTATTTATTCAACCACGTGACATACAAGTTATAACCCTAACAGACACCGTCAAGGAACAGCACAATTTAAAAAGCAGCATAATTCACTTTCAAAAGCATACTTCAAAATACTATAAACAAAAACTAATGTGCTTGCAACGCAGACTAAAGCAGTTCTCCAAACTAAATGTGAAAGCAATAAAAAGCAGCTCTCTGTTAAAACACTGTTACCTGACCATACCAAACACATTACTCCACCCTTGGGCTTAAAACCAACACACCATTCACGCCATAGTTCAAGCTCCCTGCGACAACTATTTCTACTAAAAAACCAGGACCGTTGGAGCAAAATTTAAGCATTACTTAAAGG